ACAGACCCCGGGCAGTGTGGGGTCACTCCATGGGCACAGACCCCGGGCAGCACAGGGACTCTCTGGATCAACCAATCTGCCAGACACAACCCTCTGGATCAACCAACATGCCCATGCCATTGTAGTAAAACATTTATTTGTTCAGGTGATTGAAGCTACCATGTTTACAGCTCGTGACCTCACCACTGGCGACATGGAACATGACCTGGGACTGCAGCTGTTGCCACCAGATTTTTCTTCATAGTTTTTAGTTATAAAAACCTTGGACACCAGAAAAAACAGGTATTGTAGACTTTAAGTGGTAGATGGGAGATGGGAAACCTGTGAGGGGGAAGACAGTTTATCGAGGCAGCCGACCTTGACGGCCACGGGGCCTCGGCTGCAGCTTCAAGTAAAGGTTTCGTGGGGTGAGTGCGGAGCCACACGTCAGTCCTCGCAGACCTGGAACCGGATTGTTTTCTGCCGAGCAACAACATCGGTGGCAGCGTTTTCGGGGAGTGCAGAAGGGCTGGTGTCCTGCAGAGAGGCCCCGGCTTCTGCACAAAGAGACAGAACAGACACAGTGAGGGGACGAGGAGCAGCATCAGCCTTTCCCATGGCCAAAGCCTCGCTGGTGTGGGACCAGCAACAGCCCCAGGAGCTGCCAGCCTGGGCACAGCACCCAGCAACAGCCCCAGGAGCTGCCACGGGGCCAGCCTGGGCACAGCNACAGCCCCAGGAGCTGCCACGGGGCCAGCCTGGGCACAGCCTGGGCACAGCCCCAGGAGCTGCCAGCCTGGGCACAGCACCCACTGATGGTCCCAGAACTGTGCACAGCCTGGGCACTGCACCAAGGGTCCCAGCCCAGCCCAGCCCAGCCCAGCCCAGGCAGCAGCAGCAGAGCTGCCCTCGGCCCTGGCACTGTCTCGGTGCCTTGTGCACTGCAGGGGCTGGGGCAGCAGAGCACGGCAGCTAACGGGAGACTGGGCTAACGGGAGACTGGGCTAACAGGAGACTGGGCTAAAGGGAGACTGGGCTAACGGGAGACTGGGCTAAAGGGAGACTGGGCTAACGGGAGACTGGGCTAACGGGAGACTGGGCTAAAGGGAGACTGGGCTAAAGGGAGACTGGGCTAACAGGAGACTGGGCTAACAGGAGACTGGGCTAACGGGAGACTGGGCTAACAGGAGACTGGGCTAACAGGAGACTGGGCTAAAGGGAGACTGGGCTAAAGGGAGACTGGGCTAACGGGAGACTGGGCTAACAGGAGACTGGGCCAACAGGAGACTGGGCTAACAGGAGACTGGGCTAACAGGAGACAGGGCTAACGGGAGACTGGGCCAACAGGAGACAGGGCTAAAGGGAGACTGCGCTAAAGGGAGAGTGGGCTAACGGGAGACTGGGCTAAAGGGAGACTGGGCTAAAGGGAGACTGGGCTAAAGGGAGACTGGGCTGAGAGGAGACTGGGCTAATGGGAAACAGGGCTAACAGTAGCCAATGTCCCCACCCACACCTCTGCCACAATTCTTGCCACCATCAGGGAGTGCAGGCACAGCACTAAGGCTGCCGCTGCTGCTTCAGGGAAAATCCAACTACCAAGACAACCTCCAGAACCCCCAAGAACCAGCAAAGCTCATTGCTCCAGAACCAGAGACTTCTCCATTTTCTCGATTTGCTGCTGCCCTTGCACAGGCCAAGCCTTTGCCCACAGCAGGGACTCCAGTTCCACACCCTGCCAGGGGCTCCCACAGAGCTGGGCACTCCAGAGCAGAGCAGCAGGTGGGCACAGACACAGAGCCCACCTCCCTGGGTTTGCAATGGGGAGGTGCCATGTGCCCCTGTCGTGCCCCACGGCAGGCACAGGGACAGCCCTTGGGGCAGCTGCTCCACCCAGCACAGCCCCACTTACCCCGGGGAGTGCAATGTGCTGCTGCCATGTGCAAAATCCAACCAGGCATTGCTTTAAACTCATCTTTGGCTGCTGTGGGTTACAGCCCCCAGACTGGCCACAAGGAGCCCAGGCTTAGGCCAGGTGGGGGTCCCTGTGTGCCCACCGAGGGGCTGGGCTCCAATCCCGACCGGTTTTCCTCATTCCCTCTCCCAGTGGGAAGAGGAGATGGTACAGCTTGCACACAGCATTGTGGGTGCCTCCAGAGCAGAACCTGGCAGTGCAGGAGGAAAACCAGCTCACACCAAGCCAGGCACACCAGCCTGGGCTCACCTTTCAGACTCCTGACCCAGATGCTTCTAAAGTACAGTTCTTGAGATGACCTGAGGTGACACAGCACCACAAAACCTGGAGCTTATTCTGTTCATTTTAACACAAACACAGTCCCTGATGTGGAGTCTGCAGCCAGCCACGTGCCACATTTGCTCTTTCCCTTTCAAGTTTCCTTCCTTCCAAGCCAAGCTTCCTTTTCTCTCCAGCAGCAGCCTTTGGGGAAAAGGGAGAACCACGGCATTTGTAAGCAGGACCCTGTGGACTAGCCACAGTTTGCTGCTTTTAAACCAGAACTCTAACCAGCATTAAAATTACTGCCAGGAGAAGGCACCGTGCAATAGGTGGCTGCTGCTAGTGCAGCTTTTGGGCAGTGGTGGTGCACCCTGAGGGGCAGCAGCACCTTGGCACAGGGAGGTGGATGTTCCTGAGCCATCAGTGCTGACAGATGTGACCCCTCTGCAAGGGGCACTCTCAGGCTCAGTACCACCAGAGCTCCAGGGTCACTGAGGCTCTGCCTCCCCTTGCCTGAGGGAAGAGAAGTGACCCTGGCAGCAGCTGCGGCCATTGCCAAGGAAGCAACGTGCCCCTCCCTGTGCTGGTGCCCACCCTGGCTGCAGGCACAGCGGCCCATGGCACACAGAGGGCCCTACTGCCCTTCCAGAGGGTCAGACAGCCACACAGCACTGCCCACCCACCACAGCTCCGTGCCACTGCACACTCGGCTGCTCCGGGGAGCAATGCAGGGCTGCCACGGTCCCTGGGAGGCAGGAGCATCCCTGTGCTGCTGGCACCAAGCCTCAGCTGGTGCCGGTGCCACACCCTGTCCTCGGGGTAAGGACACGCCTGGGCACAGCAGGAAGGCAGCACAGACACAGACACAGACACA